TAGTCACCTACAGCCATTCAGGAGTACGGCTGTTGCGTTTCAGGTTAGTCACCTCCAGCCATTCAGGAGTACGGCTGATGCGTTTAAGCTTAGTCACCTACAGCCATTCAGGAGTACGGCTGATGCGTTTAAGCTTAGTCACCTACAGCCATTCAGGAGTACGGCTGATGCGTTTCAGCTTAGTCACCCACACAATTCTGCATGATTCACTCATCTTACAAAAGCAACTTCTCCCTTGAAATGGCAGCAGGTTATCGCTGCCCCTCAGCAGGCTTTGACATGTGTTATACTTGCCAACATGTTAACAGTTCTGTCCAGCAGAGAAGATGTAAGTGTAAAGGTCAGGTAATGTAAATGGGCTGTGAAACCAGAAAGAGAAACCAGAAAACACAACATCATGTCTATTTTATGCCAAAATATAACAAAAATCTGTCTAATAATGTCTGTGAATTTACTGACATAAAGAAGAACATAAACGATGCAGTATTAATATCTTTGGCATTATTCAGGAGTCAAGAGGCCTATTTAAAAATGCATGTAGATGCAGCTCATTTTAACCCTGATGAGAGTGTCAACAGGAACATTCTGTCAGTTTCTGAGGGGAGGAGGACATCTGCTGCAGCTAAAAGATCCGCTTATTCAGTTTGCTCTTGAAGAATGGCCACATTTACAAGGTGAGAATTCAAATGGGAAGCCTTGCAGCTCGCGTTCTGCCCCCCCCACCACAACTTCAGTGATGGGCAGTGTTTAGTCTTTAATGTGTTTATCCCAGCTGTGGGCCCTTAATTACGAACTAGGTAGCGTCCCAGCATTCCAGGGCGGCGGTACACGTTATTAGGTTAGTTGTTCATCAGATTCTGACTGCGGCGCAGGTTTAGTGTGCAAGCAGGTTTCAAAGCAGGTTTCACAGCCCGGCATTGATTAAAATACGCTGGGGGTCGCGTGGGAGCGAGAGGGAACAGTGAACCTACTCAATCAGACTCACAATCTTCTACGGTCACAGGGACCAGTCTGAAAAGTGGAAAATTCTAAGTGGTTTTTGATATTTTATTATTAATAATAGTTTTTTTTTTCACCAAAAGGGCTCAGACGTGACGTGCTTATCAATAAGTTCTGTAAAGGGTCCATATACTATCTCCTTACCTAATAAACTAGCAGCCACAGAGCTTGAATTTTTACATTCTGTACATCAGCAGCTGTTCACAGCTACAGCTTTGGGTCGTGCTCAGATGGAAACTGCTGTGGTTTTAGTAGTTTACGGGCTATCAGTATTCTATAGTTACTTACAAAAGATAAGAACCCAACAAATTCATTTTTTACCCGTCGTAACAAGGAGGTCCTCCAATTTACAGGGAAATTTGGGGGTTGGTGGCAGGATTGGCACTGTAGCCACCGGAAAGACACTCACACTGGTCCATTTGGACTAATGTGGTGCTGAGGTATCACCTGCTGCACGGCTGCACTCAGGCTCTCATCCCGTGTGGTGGGTGCAGCAATGCGCTGTAATCAGCGCGTGTCCCCTTACCTACCTACCGACCTACCTAACAATTTGAATCCGTGGTTTGTGCTTCAACAGTTGTTAATAATGATTATTAACAAACACAGCGTGAAGAGGATAATGTTTACATTTCACATAGCAAATTAAAATGGTGGCAAAACCATTTAACTACAAAATACAAGCCTCTGGTAAGTTACACGGTGACCAAACTCATACTGACAAACTTATGATAAACACATCTATAGCCACAGAACAACTAATTATCTGAATAACATTTCTAAACAAGTTTTGTTTTTGTTATACTACAAAACTAGATGGGTTTGGTGACAAGTACATCTGAGGCTCAGTAGAAAGATTTAAAGCAGGCACCATAATTAACCAGAAATTAAAAGACTCAAGCTACACTCCTAACGTATTTAGTTAGAGAGGGAACAGAAAAACCAAATAACCTGCATTTCTGCTTGCACTTCATGTCTTAAGAAACACCTTCTCAAGTGGAACCGTAAGAGCTCTCAGGCTGACAAAGGTTTTCCAGCTCTTAAATGTTACAGCTGGCTGAGAAAAAACTAACCTTTAATGTGACTTGTTTCACAACAACTAAACGGGAGACACTAGATGTCTTTGTAAACAAATATCTGGGCGTCAGAGGACACAATGGATATCTGGCTTCTTTTTGCAGAAGCTGGGATTTGTTGTTCACTGTTAACTGCAAACATTTCGATTTAAATGACACTGATGCCATGGCTGAGATTTCCAGGTAATTTCACAAAGCGCCGTTTGCTTAGTTCCTCAAAGAGCTTCTGAATCCAGACAAACATCAGTCTTCTGCTGCTGAGGTTAACACAGTCTTGTCTGCTGAATTTTCATTTTTTTTTTTTTCCAACATTTTTTTCCCTCCAGTGTGATTTAGGAATGTTCTGGTTTCCCATTTTCCGCAGAAATGACCGCGTTCTCATTGAGCGGATCCCGATCGTAAACTCCAAGGACAGGCTTTGCCGGATATGGAAATGTCAGGCCGCGTCCCACATCAGGTGCCGCGGGGGCGCGGAGGGGAGAGCCATCATAAAAGCTGGAGCGGGGGGGCGATTATGTTAATCTGCTTATAGGCAAAGCAGAGGATTTATGTCACTGCATCCCGACCTGCACCCCTCCCCCTGGATCCCCCCCCCCATCTGCAGGATTCAGCTGCACACGTTACGCTTATTCCAGCAAAACAGAAACTAAACAAAACATTTATTTTTACACACTCAGGAGTCCCCGCAAACCAGATCGGGAACAAGAGGCCTGAAAGGAACTGCTGTTTGTCCTGTGAATGTTTCACATTTAATTAAAAATTAAATGATTCCTGTACTTTTAGTCTGAAGAGTTGTACTTTGTGTCGTTATCCTTTAAAAACCAAGTCCAATTATTTCCTCATGTTGTTTCCTCCTTACTAGCAATATTTTGCCATCCACCCCCTCCCTGTTTTCAGCAGTGGAATAAATGAAAACTCTCACAATATAGTAATATTCCCATCTCTCACGCTGCAGGGTATATTGCTTTTTGCCTTGACGTTTACTTTGTCACAGAAAGCGTCTGCAGCTGTAAATCTCCGGGAGCCTTTCCCTACATCACAACAGCGGCCCGGTCGATAACGCCACGGACCGGGCCTTCCACGGGCGATTTAGGGGCGCTTACTTACCATAATGCCTGTCAGGAGACAGACTCCTTTTCCACAGTAGGTATTAGGCACCATGTCGCCGTACCCGATGGTGAGGAAGGTTATTGAAATCAACCACATGGCCCCAAGAAAGTTGCTGGTAACGTCCATGTTGTCATGGTACCTGGAAGGTCCAGAACAGCAGCAGACATCAGGTCAACATCAAGAGCAGAGCAGAGAACCTGAAAGTAGGCAGGTCATAGTTTGCTTAATCAGCGAGTCGTCTCACGTCTCCGAATTCGTCGTACATCAAAGTACCGGGAGCCTTGGTTTGCACATCCCAAGAAGCACACAGGTCTGCCCACACATTCAGCCAGAATCGCCATCCACTCGAGAGAAGGCCAATCAGCACCTGGTAGAAGGACTGGACGGGGTACACGCACCTCTCGCACGCCCGAACCGTCCACGCGGCGATGATCCACAGCGAGATGGTGAAGACCAACAGGACCGTCCCGGGACAGATGGTCATCAGCGTCTTCATGACGAAGCGGGTGTTGAAGTTGATCTTGTTGAGAGCCCCTATGCTTCTGGAGGAGGCATCGGTGAACAGCTTGCTGTGCAGAAGCATCACCCGGGCGATGAGGTACAGCCGCAGGAACATGGGGATGGACAGGATGATGTCCACGTCAGCGTCGGTCTTGGACGGGGTGTACGAGAAGGCCAGGCGTGCCGTCCACGTGAAGGTGTAGTTCCCGGGTATGGGGTGGATGGCACACACCAGGATCTCCAAGCAGATGAAAAACATCCGCTCGTAGGTCATGGCTATCCTCCAGTCGTCCGCGGCATTGTCCACCATAAACAGCTTGGAAACACAGGAAAACAAGGGCAAGCAACATTTTGAGCAAGTTTCAAGGAGGTAGGGCCTGCGGCAGAGAAAACACAGGGCTAAACAGCTAATTAACCTGGTCACACCAAGAACAATTTAGGAGCAAGTCAGAACATTCAAACGCATACACACAGAATTAAGCCAGATTCAAACCCCCAGCCCTGTTGGTAACAGTGATACAAATAAGGCCACTGGTATGTATTTTTCTACAATAAACTGAATTTGCCCAAAACTTCAACATATTAAATTCATGTCAGGCGCTGCACTGCCCGTTTGTGGGACGCATGGCGACTGGGGACGCATCAGCCGAGCTGAACACAGATGCCATCAAAGCTGAGCGGAAGAAGCTGATGCTGTTTGATGTCTATCTCAGTCACTCCCACAGCAGCGGAACACTTTTAATAAAAAGGTGACCAGTAAACACGATTCGTACAAGGTCATGGGCTCCTGCCCACGTTTTAAATAGCTGTCCTGCATCCAACTGAATTTTCAGAGTTGTAAGGATATTTATTTAACTTTTGAGAAAGCTGAGACCTGGGCCAGCACCCACAGAGCACCTGGAGTAAAGAGTGGAATCGTGACCTTGGGGTGTACAATATCAATGATCATCAGCACCATCCAGTTCAGGGTGTACCCCAGACCCCTACGCTGCCGGACACAGGCTCCAGGTACCCCATGACCCTGATGAGGATTAGGGGTTAGGGATGGAGGATGGAGGATGGAGGATGGATGATGGATGAAGAACTGTAATAAACAAATGAACAAATAAGAGAGCTCCTCCATTATATGTCTTCATAAGCCAGCTCTTAGGGGGCCAAGAGTTACCGCTACAAGCGTTTATGTCAGAACTTCCATGCAGAGACCAGCGAGCCCCTTTGAAGTTCACAGAAACAGTATGACCTCCTTTCCTGTTACATCTTTATTCTACTGCACTGCTGAAGGGGCAAATTCATCAAGCCTCAATTCAATTAAAAGACGTCACAGGGACAAAAATGCAAGGTGGCTTCTTCTCCTCACCTGCAAGTTATGGGAGGGAAAAAAAACGAAAATTCATTATGTTGAGAGTCTGTTTTCATATTTGCAGTGTAAGCAAAATTGAGGAAAAGCCTGAGCAGGTCAGGGATCTGAACCGTGTGACACAAGGGGATCATGATGGAGCGGCACTTAATGCTGGGACTCCCCTTTAAAGCAGGAGAAGATGCGGCAGCGAGATTTAAACAAACAGAAATTAGCTGTTTTGTTGGAAGATGCCATATGAAGCAGTATGGGGGGTGGGTAGGATTTAACATGCTACGTGTTTTATGCCAGTTCCTGAGGACCCACAGCCGATCCATGTTTTTGTTCCCTCCGGGCTCCCTGCCAGAACGTGGCAAAACGTGGACTGTCTGTGGGTCCCCTGGGATTGGGAAACACTGATCTAGACAATAAATGGGAAGCTAAGGTCAAAAGGTCTAGCCAAGATCCTCAAGAAACGTCCAGTGTTGATGGCATTTCCATTAATTAACTGCACTGCAGTTATGCTTCAGTCCAGATGATGCAAGCGTTGCATGCAGACACCTGTGTGACATTCCAGAAAATCACCAGAGCCCAACAACAAGTCATGTGCTGGCAGCTCTACGTCCCTGTTACCCCATCAAGGTTATGGACACTCTTCGCTAGTGGAACTGCCGTTAAGGATGATTTGCGACTTGTTGTCTTGGGCTCAGAGATGGATCTTTGCACAAGGTGCTCATGACAAGGACATCGTCATCCTTCTTGGAGAAGCAGGACACAGCACCAGTGCGTCAAGACATGAAACTGTGAGAAATTGGATACCCTGCCCCGCATTTGCAGAAGTATCTGTTCAACTTCCTCTTTTCTTGCCCAACTCCAGACTCATCGACTATGAAGAGGCTGCCATGTTACATCATGACCTTGCAGACCTTCGCTCACATCCAGCACCGTCCCAGTGACTTCTCACTCACTCCTCCAGATGGTTTCCCAGCCTAAATTTGCATATTCCATGTGCAGCTAGAATTCACATCACATGCGACCCAAACAATATACTTTACAGGCCTGTTTGGCAAGGACGGCACTGTCAGATTAAAACGAGGCATCGGCCCACTGTAACAGAAGAGGCGGGACTGTAAATCTGCCACTGCAGCCTGCTTCTCCCCCACACAGAGCAGGTCTAGTATCACTGTTAACAAAATGCATGACCCTAGAAATTAGGTGAAAGTCTTCCAAAGATAAGCCTGCTGGTTAAATTTGCCCTTCTACCCCGATTTCCGTAGACTTTCGATTTTATCAACAAACCTATGTGTGCACTTAGGCAAGAAGATCAAGTAGTACGAACACCCCCCACCCAAGCGGAGTTTAATCTTTCCTTTTGCTTGCGGTATAGAAACTTCAAATGCTGATCAAATGCAACACAAGCTGCGCTGCACTGCGCTTCCACAGCCCATCCAATAACTCCTGCCTGATGAAGTCACAGCCATCATCATCATTGCAAGAAAACACACAGAGGGATGTATCCCATGCTCGAATCCATCAAGAGGATCTCTGAATCCATCACCATGGGTCTTTGAAGATCATTTTTAAAGTGTCCATCACCATACACTAATGCGACCACAAGAAGGTTAAAAAGTTCACGATGGATATTTTTTACATTCAGATAATTATGGTTCAATTAAGAACTACTGCAAATACAAAGAAGTGGATGTTTATTTGAATCTGGCTCTTTTAGCCATATTATCAATATTATCAATGTAATCAATCACGTGCAGAGAGTATTTTAAGTCCCCGGATGCCAGATGTCAGGGTATTTGAAAAAGGCACAATAAATGGGAAGACTTTGCTCTTTAATGTTGTGACCTGACAAAAATAAGCAAGCCAACAACCTTCGAACACTAAAAGATGGAGGGTTCGAGAAGACTGACACCCGAGAAGGGGCCATTGAATAATGTATTCTGACTGGAGATCTCTCTTAAGGACTGGGGGGGTTAGTGGAGTGGGTGGTGGGGGGGTGCAGTGCAAAGGAAATGGGAAACCGAGGGTCTTTGTTGTCCCCTCTGAAGGGAGAAAGCCACCCAATGAACGAAATCGGCTGCGTTGTGTCCCGGCGCCGTTGCCAACGATCAGGCCGCGATTACTGCGAAAGCTACGGGCACCACATGTGCTAAAGCAACCGCGCTAGAAACCCTCCGCCTTGGCTCTGGGCCGAGCTGGCGGTCCATTTATCTACAGCATGATGCCATCCAGTGACGCGGATGTGACTTTTTTTAAGAGTGTTCTACTCACATCACCACTGAGTGTATTACAGGACAAACAAACAAAAAAATCACACTCACTCATTTTGTGATTCATTTCATGGCCCAAGAAGAACATCATCAGGCCACCTGCATCACTTTACGTTAAGCTGAATCACTAGTGCTGCAAAACTAGTTATGCTCACTTAGGATTTCTGGCACACTCATCCCTGATCTCATCCCCCATGTCAAAGTAATTTGTAATTCTGCCAGAAGATAACATAGCCATCCAGGTATCAAATCAAGGATTGTTTGGTTATTTTATCCATCCTGCTGTAGTCAGTGCGTCCCGCATGAAAACATCATAAAACAAGGAGAAATGTCTCATTTTTCCCCAGAAAAGAATAAAATGTACCTTCTTTCCTGTTTTTATCATCTGATAATGCCGCCAGTGAACTCCTCTCGCGTACGGGTGTCTGAGCTGGCCGGGTGGGGTATCATATCGTATTTTTTTGCTGGCAGCCTAAAGTCAGCCTGAAACTTTATCTATTAAAAATCCACCTCCCTCTGACCATAGCATCAGGTATTACATCTCAAAGCATGAACAGCGAGGCGAGTTGGTAATAAGCACAACAGAGTGCACATCAGAGTGCACATCAGAGTGCACATCAGAGTGCACAACAGAGTGCACAACAGAGTGCACAACAGAGTGCACAACAGAGTGCACATCAGAGTGCACAACAGAGTGCACATCAGCAGCACACTGGCTAAGAGTTTGAAAAGAGGAACATCATGGCTCTGGAAAGCGACACTTCTGACCGATGTGTGGCAGGCTTCGGGGACTCGATTTCCGCAGGCTTGGCTTCCTTGAGCGAGTGCGCCAGCAGTCTGTGCAGGAGCTGAAAGCTCCGCCGGCAAAAACGGGGGGGCCCTCTGAGAGGCGCCAGCGAGCCGTCCTCAGGAACCATCGCCCGTCTCTGTTTTTATTACAACTACAAACTGGGAGTTTGAACAAGTGGCAGGCAAGCCAACCGCACTTTGTGTCTAATGTCACCTCCCCCATGTCAAAAAGGCAAACTGTCAGCTGAGGGTGACACTCCAACCCCCAATCTGGGACTTAGCTATCAGAAAGGATCAGATTCACAATGAGGTAGCATTTAAAAAAAAAAAAAAAAAAGTTGCCATTTTGCTATTTCCACATAATGAAACATTTAGAAGACAGACATGGGGAAAACCCAATGGGTAGCAAAATGCAATTACAGTAATGGACAGAACGCAACACTACACCGGGGGTCTGGCTGACTGCGAGCGAGGCGAACGCCGCGCGACACGGGCTGCATGTTCATCGTATCAGAGCTGCACGCTATGAATTTAATTAGAAAGGCCAGATGTGGAGGGACTGTCAGGTGGCGCCATAACTAGCCGCCGCTCGGAAACGGGCTGAGACTCTGGGAGACGCTTCTTACTTTCTTTCGCCGCCGGTGAGTCCAGTGCTGAGCCCCGCAAACCCCCAGAAAGCATTTTGTGTTGTTTTCCTGCCGTGATAAATTTCCAAACATTATTTACATTGCTTCAGCCCGCATTGCTCTTCCAGCTGGTTTTGGTTGCTGAAACCAGCAACCTCAATATATTTAATGGACCTCAACTCAATATTTAATCTGTGTAATGTGGCATTGAGAACATATATCTTGTCACTGTGCAAGAAATCGTTCAATCTCATTAGCAAATGAGGTTGAGAAGCTAGGCTCA